GCTTCTAGCTAACCTTTTGTCACTTTTAGCTTCTGGAAAGATATTTGCAACTTTTAGTTTCTAGCTAACCTTTTGTTACTTTTAGCTTCTAGCTAACTTTTAGTCACTTTTAGCTTCTGGAAAGATATTTGCAACTTTTAGCTTCTAACTAACCTTTTGTCACTTTTAGCTTCTGGAAAGATATTTGCAACTTTTAGCTTCTAGCTAACCTTTTATCACTTTTAGCTTCTGGAAAGATATTTGCAACTTTTAGCTTCTAGCTAACCATTTGTCACTTTTAGCTTCTGGAAAGAAAGTTGCAACTTTTAGCTTCTAGCTAACCTTTTGTCACTTTTTGCTTCTGGAAAGATATTTGCAACATTTAGCTTCTAGCTAACCTTTTGTCACTTTTTGCTTCTGGAAAGATAGATGCAACTTTTAGCTTCTAGCTAGCCATTTGTCACTTTCAGCTTCTGGAAAGATATTTGCAACTTTTAGCTTCTAGCTAACAATTTGCTACTTTTGGCTTCTAGCTAGCAATAGCTTTTCAGTTTTTAACTAGACTTAGTTTTAGCTAGCCTTTTGATTTCACTTTGTGCTACTTTTATCTAGCATTTTGCCACTTTTAGCTAGTGTTCTGCTACTTTTGGCTTTTAGCTAACTGTTGGGCTCCTTATATTTTTTCTAGCATTATTATACTTTTAGCTTTAACAACTCATATCTAGCTTTTTCAGCTAATTTCAGCAGGAGTTCGGATAGGGTTTACCTTGTTCAGCAATCTCGATCTCCCTGCGGCCGAAGTCGGCCTGTTTGATGTTTTTGATGCAGAAATCTCCATTTCCTTTGGAGTTTTTCTGTTGTTTGTCCCGAGGAGATGTCTCGTCGTCTGAGCTGTCCGTGTACGACGCCGCTGCAGATGGAAATAAAATTTAAATACTTGTGAAAAATCTAAAAAGGAACAAGATGTGCAGTGACCAGAATCTAATGAACAGAACCAACATGACCTGATGGACCTAACTTTTTTCAATTGCCTTGAATTAAAAAGTTTAATCTGTACAGACGGAAAGAACAGAGAAGAGTCTGAGTTAAGCAGATTATGAGATTCTGTCGTATAAAGATTGTTTCTTTGTTTTTAGGTCTATTTTAAAGGAGACCAATTATGGGTCCTAGAAATGTTTATGGTGTGTCTGTGGGCTATCCAGACCATGTT